ATCCGGTGATGGGTTATTTTGTGGTTTTTCTTGAAAATTATAGAAAAATCGGGGTTAAAATGTAAATTTGGAAAGTGGATTTAATGACCCAGCCTCTTCTTCTCGACAGACGCGTCTGTAATCAAACGGCGGCAGCAAAACACAAGGAAGAAGGAAGAAGGAAGAAGTGGAAAGAAGAAGAAAGAAGAGGGAAGAAGAAGAAAAGGAGGAACCATCTGCATCTGCTGCTCGCCAGGTTTTTTTTTTCTCTTTTAATGTTTTAGCTGCATGAGTCCAACCAAATTCTGAAAGTCTTCAAAATCTATTGCTCGGTGATGAAAATTAAAACTGCACAACTATTATATACTGAATTTGGAAAAACAAAAAATTCCTTGAATGGTGTCCTCAGAAATGTCAATGGTTACAAAAGAATAAGTTCAAATTTTAACAAAAAATAAACAGTTTAAGCACACCATTGCAAACTTGTTAGACATCTCATGAAATCACTAATTCTTTCTGAAACATTAGAAGAGATGACAATTAGACAAATGAAGAGTACCATTGCTTACCATAGTTCTGGGGTACAATAGTGAACTTTTAGGTGGCTTTAATTAGGAAACCCTATCTAATGAAGAGTAGCCACCCATTTGGCCAGGGCAATGGGTTCACCCCTTCCACCCAAGTTGAAATCCCTCTTCCCGTAGATTAGATTAATTAGACTATTGCTTGTATTAAAAAAAATAAAAAAATTAGGGAATATCTCATAAGACTTCAATTTTCCCATATGTCTGAAATGCAAATGTTGGACACAATCAATTCAGGGAGAAGCTTCTGTTGCCCAAAAGTTCCCAACACATGTACTGTAGAAGAACAAATCTGCATGAGATAAATTTTTTAGTCTACCTTCTGCTTGAAAGACACAATAAAAGATCAAGTCTGATATAAACTTTTATGTATTTTGTAATAATAAATGGTATTGTATTTTAGACAATAGCAGTCATTTTCTTATCTAGAAGAAAATGTCCGGTTTTCATCTGGATGCTTACTCGGTTGCCAATACTATAGGCCGGTAGATGCATTTGGATGAAATTTGGAGTTTAACTTCCGGATAAGAGAATCATTGTGGATAATATATATCATGTGTTTTGTAGGTTTTTTTTTGTTTGCCAAAGTAATGTATTATAATAGATTGAGTCCGAAAACTCAACTTGTGAGTCTGTTGACTTCTCACCCACTGTAGCCCTTCATTGTTGTTCGAGTTTTGGCCCAAAAGCTCTTTCTTCTGGAGCGTCCTTTGTGCTCAATTTTGAAAACAAACCCATAATAGGCCAATCATAGCTCAACCATCACAACATTTACCTTGTGCTCTTCACTAAAGCTTTCCTCCTCTTCATATTCTTCTTCCACTCTGTTCTTAGGGTTTAATCCTTGTTGTCCTTTCTCTTGTACCAAGTGATTTCAATTCTTTCAATTTCATAGTTTAAGGTTTAATTTCTGCCTCAGGTACTGCAATTATATACCACTAACTTATATTTTCTTATTGTGGGTTTGGTAATGTTTATTTCTGGGGCACCCAAATACAGGCACAGCTGCATAATAGACTCGGTGTGTTAAGAGCTTCCTAGTTTAGTTTATAATCTACCCTAGTTTTTTTTTTTTAAATTTTTTTTTTTTTAAATTTTGTTTAGGTTTTAAGTTCTTACTGATTTAGCTTCTTTTTTATTCACAAATGAGTTTGTTGAGTTGGTGTGTTGAGATATTCAGTCACTGGTAAGCCAGCTGTGTTACTGACTTGTTGGTCTGTTCTTTTTATTTTTACTTTGCTTCAAGCTCTGAATCCGAATGGAGTAATTTGGTTCTGTTGAGAAATGTTGGTATAATTTCTGGTTGTGTTGCTGGTTAGTTTAACATTGAATGAAATTTGGTTAATTAAGTTTTGTGTTGCTTGGATGCCGGTTAGTAAAGTGACTAGACTGATAAGATTGCTTGTGTTGTTGGTTTGTTTGTAATCTGGTTGTGTTGTAGCTGTATGATTGAAAATCTGAAAGTTCTGTTACAAATTGAGTATAGCTCTTAGATTTGGTCAACTGAAAGTTGTGTTGCTGCAAAAAAAAAAAAATTCTGGTTATTACATTTATCTATAGAACTTAAGGTGTGAAAGTGTTATTATTAATTATATATTCATTAAAGGTTAGTTAATGAATAAAGTTTTTTTTTTTTTTTTTTTTTTTCTGGTACAGAAATGAAAAGTTAAATTTGTTTGGGACACTTGGCCCACCTTAAATTTCATCCAGGCTCTGCCCTGACGCAGAATAGAGGGCCATGGTGAGGAAGAGGCCGAACGTATTGGTGACGGGCACACCAGGAACTGGGAAGACAACAACTTCGTCCACCTTAGCCGAGGCGACACAGCTCCGCCACATCAATGTGGGTGATTTGGTGAAGGCCAAGAATCTCCATGATGGCTGGGATGATGAGCTAGACTGTTACATCATCAACGAAGACCTGGTATGCGATGAGCTTGAGGATACAATGGAAGGAGGAGGTAACATAGTGGACTACCATGGTTGCGATTTCTTCCCTGAGAGATGGTTTGATCTTGTGGTTGTGCTCCAAACTGACAACACTGTCTTGTATGATCGCTTGACTCGAAGGTAATTTTTCTCAGCACTGCTTTTTCTCAAGTGTCGCTTCCTTGAGAGTCAAAAAATGAAAACCTATGTTTATGGGTTTGTGTGTTTTTGGAATGTTGCAGAGGTTATTCAGAGTCAAAGCTCTCCAACAATATTGAATGTGAAATATTTCAAACTCTGCTTGAGGAGGCAAAGGAGAGCTACCCGCAAGATATCGTTCTTCCCTTAAAGAGTGATAGCATTCAAGACATTTCGACTAATCTTTCTACTTTGACGGAATGGATCAGGAGGTGGCAACCATCAACTTAGTTTCCCATGATACAGTTTTGCTTGAAGGTGCTTGTTGTTTAAGTTGGGTCACGCTTTTGAGATGAATTTTTCATGTATCATTATAACATTTGTATTCACTCTCATCAGTTTTACCATTATGTGATTTGAATCTCTCTTGCATTGAAATTGTTCATTCAAGGGGATTTGATTAAATGAATTTGTATAAAGGGGCATTCATAATGACTATGCAGCATGCAAATTGGCGTGAGTTTTGGTCTTGTTGGACCCTGGAGGAGAATGAAATCCATATATAATTGTCCTCGATGCTTTTTCATACTCTATTTATGAACAGGAAGTACCGTCTGCCAGATGCATTGGAGAAACCACGTTAGCGCACACGTCAGAATTCACAGTATATGCCACTATATACTGTTTTACAAATCCATAATTCTAGCCAAATAAGCAATTAGTATGTCAATAATTTAGAATTTACAATATATACACTATCATTCATATATATATATATATATATATATATACACTGAGAGCTTTTGTTGAGGGATTACTTATTTGAAGGACATCCTTGTAGGACTCACTCCATATCGTATTAAATTCATTCAAAGATCAAGTTTACAAAAAATCACTTGAATTCGATATCATTTGATCATTCAATTAAATTATTGAAATTTAAGTACTTTCTTGAAACACCGTGTTAATTGATTTTGTTGGTCTCAATTAGATGCCTTAATGATTTTCAATTTGTCTGAATTTTTTGTAAGAATAGTCTCTGAATGAAGACTTGAAGAGTACACCGTTTGGATCGTTGAAAAGAAAGTAGTAGGGAACCATAGAGGGTGCCTCTCAAATAAAATAATTTGAGGGATCCCTTAATGGAAGGGGACAATGCGTTTCAGGTAATGGTTTTTTTCTTGAGTATTCCAAAGCAATTTTATGGAGTTTTATCTCAATATACTCAAGTGTAAGTATACCTGTTGTGGAGGTGTGCGTTTTTTTTTTCTTCCTATTTTTGTAACCATTTAGATAGTTACTTTTTTACTTTAAATATGAGTTTAAAGATCCATACCAAATGTATTATATGAGTTTTAATTACCAGGACTAGAGGCAATTTATGGGTATAACTATGTGAACAAGAGCTGACTTTTGGGTTTAATTACCTGCACAAGAGGTGTATGCATAGATTCCAATTATGTTAGGGTAAAAGACAAGAAATTTATAGCTCAAGTGGTTAACAACATTTACCTACGTTCCCTTTATTTTGTTTTTGTCATGAGATAGGCCTCATCAACTGTATAACTTTGGGCCTCATCGTGTGAAAGCCCAAAGCAGTCCGAGCCGAACCGACTTAAAAGTTTTGTTCACACTTCGCACTCTCCCGGAGTCCATATTAGAAGCGAAGCAATTGTTCAGTTGTTCCTACTCAATTCAATCCTTGTTCCTCCTCTTCCAGTTTTTCTTGTTCGCTCTCCCTCTCTCACAGTAAAACAGTTAATCCAGCACTTTCCAGTTGTCACCAAAATCCCAAAAACTCTTACTTTACTCGGTGGGTTGCTCTCAAAGGGCCAAGAAGGTACCTCTTCTTTGTTCTTTCACATTTGAATTTGGTTGGTTTTCTTTTTCATTTTCTCTTCCAGCTTGAAGCTTTGTTTATTGCCTTTGTTATCTGGTTATGTAAATAGTAAAGGATAGTTGCAATAGCTATTTATTTGGTTGTGTAATGGGGTCTGTTAAATTATATGGCTCTGTAATTCGTATATTTAGACCGATTTTAATGCATTTTGATGAATTTATTTACATGGGTAATATTCAGTGACATTTGGAAGATGATAATTTAGGATTTTGGAGCTTCATGTGAGATTTTACAGAGCAACGGAGGATGAGTACCTTTCAGATTACTTCCTCCCAACCTAGCATCTGTTTCAGAAACACGTCTCAAGCTCTCCGTCCATCTCCAAAGCTTCTTCTTCTTCCAACTTGTTTGCAACCAACCAATAATGCATCCATTCGGAAACAACGGATGCCGGTTTTGAAGGCCCAGCAATGCAGGGTTTTATCCAAGTACCATCGATCTGCACCTGTCTGCTTGTTAGGTGGCATGAAAGTGGTGATGAGGTGAGAGGCTTTTATTGGGCTATGGGAACTCAAAGAGTTTAAATTGAAGGTTTCAAGAAATCGCTACATGGTTGTATGTGTAATGACAACAAAAGAGTCCTACATTTTTCTCTCATGTTTTCATTGTCATAATTGCAATCTTTCTTCGTGGCATGTGAGATGATGCTTTATATGCTTGCGATTATTTATTATGTAATGAAGGGCATTGAGGGGATGAATATTTTGTTTATGAGATATATGTATGCTCATTAATTACTGCAAGTTTCTTTGTCATCATGCAATGCATGCGTTGTATATTCTCACTACACTTCTTAATGCAACCAGGGTTCCCCTTGGAAAGCTCTTGAGAAAGCAATGGGTAATTTGAAGAAGGACCAGTCGATAGAGGATGTATTACGTCAGCAGATTGAAAAGAATGAATTTTATGAAGAGAGAGGAGGTGGTGGTGGTGGTGGTGGCAGTGGCAGTGGCAGAGGCAGTGGCGGTGATGGTGCAGGTGGTTCTGGATCAGAGGATGAAGGCCTTGCTGGAATCATGGATGAAACACTGCAAGTGATTCTCGCAACCATTGGATTTATATTTCTGGTAATAATCCTAAATTCTCTTACAGAAGTGATTATCATGTCTTTTCTTGATCACTCCTTATTGAGTCTTTGTATGAAAATTCTGTATCCACTATCTGTGAAGCGTGTTGTTTATTTGGAAGTGAGAGATGAAAGACAAGAAACACACAATGCACGTAAGTGAAAGCATCACAATTAACAATCAATGGCTCTTAGGTAAAGTATAACTCATTTCTACTTGCTTGCTGCTGCCGAAATGAATACTAGCCCTTTGGCTCGTGCTTTTGCACGTGGCCAGAGGCTTTTTCTCTAAGCATCCGCTGAAAGTATTGAATCACCTTCAGCCTTCGAGCTTCGGTAAAATGATGGGCCGTAGTTTAGATTTTGCTTCCAGGTTGTTTTGAAATTTAGTATGCATCTTAAGTCCCACCAGCTTTTTTATTGTACCTTGCTTCGGTAAATTGATCTTCCGCTCATCCATTCTCCATGCTTAACTTTCTGCGACGTGGTAAAATGGGGATGCCAAAAATATGCTGGAAACAGCTGAAGAAATACAACGTGGAGTTGGTTATCTTGCTTTTCAATTTCTCTGTTATTTTAATTGATTGTCCTGTTTTTTTACCATTTTATTCTCATTAATAAATCATGTTCTTCTAACTGTTTTCTTTAGCAAAGTGTATTATTAGGATTTTCAAGGAGCAATGATGTTATTTAATATTCTAGTAAAACAGTTATCACCTCTGTTGTAGTGTCAACTGTTTAGGGAATCTAAAGTGAGCTTGGATACTCCAGTTTCATGTAATGCCTTATTGTAAGAGAGGTGTAAGTTCTTTGGAGGGAGGGAATATGTGCTGTGATGGAAAAATTTTGGTTGTCGTGGACCGGAAAGGAATAGGAGAATTTGTTAGGGAGCTAAGGGTGAGGTGGATCACTTGTGGCATACGATTAGATGTTGGGCATCCATTGAGTGTCAGTGTCTTAAGAGTTCAAAAAGATTTATTTTCAGTCTTTATTATTATTATTATTATTATTGTTATTATTTTATGATTGGAGTGCTGATGTGCAAGACCTTTTAATTTTGAGTGTTTTGCGGTAATAGGTTTGGTGATTGTTAGTTGTAGATCAGATAGCTGGGTAGCTCAGCAGACGGCTTGGCCCGTGTTTTACTTTTCATCTTTGTAGTAATAAAAGTCTCTTTCTTACGAAAAACAGCATGTTTAGTGAAATGAGAATTTCCTCACTATTTCTTACTATAAAATATGTTTTTAGCGAATCTGGATGTGTAATGTACCCTACCCAATATCTTTTTACATTTCAAACTGAAATGCTCTTCTTGCAGTATTTTTACATCATCAGCGGTGAGGAGTGGACTCGGCTAGCAAAGGACTACATCAAGTTTCTCTTATCGGGGTCCAAGAGTATTCGTTTACAGCGTTCCATGTACAAATGGGGAAGGTTCTACAAGAATCTGACTGAGAAGAAGTATTGTGATAAGTTCTGGTTGGAGAAGGCCATAATCACTACCCCAACTTGGTGGGATAGCCCCGATAAGTACCGGCACATCGTTAGATCTAATTTAGAATCAAATTCAGATGAATAACCCAGGTCACATTGCATAACCCTTCCCTCTACGTTGTTTGTGTTGATTTTGGGGGATAGTATAAGTCTTCAATTTAGCACCTATATTTTATTGTTTATTTTTTACAGTTGGGATCCTTAAAGGATCAAATTCTTGTTTTTACAACAAAAAGGGCCCCCTCGATGGGATCTCTGCAATTCTATCATAACAGGAATAGCAATTACAATAAAATCATGAGCAAGTTTTTTTTGTTTATTATTTTTTTATACAAGTGATATTGTGGGAAGAAGTTGTCGAACTTAGGACCTAGGATGCAGTGGTAAATGCTCACGAGCAAGTTTTTATTAGGTGCCATTTGAACTCCAAAATCAGTTGTATCTATCAAACTTTTCTTAGGAAATTGCCGGTATTTTGACTTCGATTTTTCTATGTTTGTTAGTTTCATTCCAAACTTAACTTCGCCTACTTTATTTGTGTCATCTCAACAAGCGCATTCACGTACTGGTGCAATAGCAAATTTTACAATTGAGCAAGACGTGATCCAACTTCTTGGTCATAATAAATTGAGTCACTATATGTCAAGTTGCCATTCGAAATCAGATGCTCAACAAATTTTAGTTTCTTTGACGTCACAACTGAGAAGGGTTAAACTTTAATTTAGTTAACAACAGGGTAGCGTTCCCATATTTAATTTTGGTGTTGGATTAAATTATGCCCCCCATGCAAGATTCATGATTAGAAGTCAATTGCTTGAGTTCTGTAAACATAGAAAGACTCAAAGAAGGTTTTTCTTAAGTACTGGTTTTGTAAATCGAAATTTAGTGAAAAATCCAAAAGAAACAAACAGCTTCAAAATCACCCAAAAACTTTTCAAAATGACGAAAAAACGATTATCTTTAGCATCAAACACATGCAAATCCTAGAGCTCTTTCCTCCACCGAAAACAACCATCAACATGCGAAAATTTTGTCTTCAAGCAACCAGAACATGTGAAGACTTTGTCACTTTGCATCTGTCCAACAGTTATTACTGAGCAACGACAATATCAGAAATAGTGTTTTTGTTTCTTTGTACATATTTTTGAGTGCATTTTGTCTTAAAAAGCAGAAGAATCGTTTGCTTGCCATCAGTTGGCATGTCATGTATGTATGAGACTTTAAAAACATCCAAAAACAATTCAAAATGACGAAAAAATCATTATCTTAAGCATCAAAGACATGCAAATCCTAGAGCTCTTTCCTCCATTGAAAATCACCATCAACATGTGAAGAAACCAAACCTGCAAGTAAAGAATTTGCCTTCAAGCAACCAGAACATGTGAAGACTTTGTCACTTTGCATCTGACTAACAGTTATTACTGCGCAACGACAATATCAAAAATAATGTTTTTGTTTCTTTGTACATATTTTTGAGTACATTTTGTCTTAAAAAGAAGAAGAATAGTTTGTTTGTCATCAGTTAGCATGTGATGTATGTATGAAACTTTGAAAACACCCAAAAAAATTTCAAAATGACGAAAAAACCATTATCTTTAGCATCAAAGACATACAAATCCTAGAGCTCTTTCCTCCATCAAAAACCACCATCAACATGAGAAGAAACCAGACCTGCATATGACGATTTTGTCTTCAAGCAACCAGAACATGTAAAGACTTTGTCACTTTGCATCTGTCCAACAGTTATTACTGCATAACGACAATATCAGAAATAGTGTTTCTGTTTCTTTGTACATATTTTTGAATGCATTTTGTCTTAAAAATCAAAAAAATCGTTTGTTTGTCATCAGTTGGCATGTGATGTATGTATGAGACTTCAAAAACATCCAAAAAAATTCAAAATGACGAAAAAATCATTATCTTAAGCATCAAAGACATGCAAATCCTAGAGCTCTTTCCTCCATTGAAACCCACCATCAACATGTGAAGAAACCAGACCTGCAAGTGAAGATTTTGTTTTCAAGCAACCAGAACATGTGAAGACTTTGTCACTTTGCATCTAATCAACAGTTATTACTGCGCAACGACAGTATCATAAATAATGTTTTTGTTTCTTTGTACATATTTTTGATGCATTTTGTCTTAAAAAGCAGAAGAATCATTTGTTTGTCATCAGTTGGCATGTGATGTATGTATGAAACTTCGAAAACACCCAAAAAAATTTCAAAATGACGAAAAAACCATTATCTTTAGCATCAAAGACATAAAAATCCTAAAGCTCTTTACTCCGTCAAAAACCACCATCAACTCGAGAAGAAACTAGACCTGCATGTGACAATTTTGTCGTCAAGCAACCAGAACATGTGAAGACTTTGTCACTTTGCATTTGACCAACAGTTATTACTGCGCAACGTCAGTATCAGAAATAATGTTTTTATTTCTTTGTACATATTTTCGAGTGCATTTTGTCTTAAAAACTAGAAGAATCGTTTGTTTGTTATCAGTTGGTATGTGATGTATGTATGAAACTTCGAAAACACCCAAAAACTTTTCAAAATGACCAAAAAATCATTATCTTTGGCATCAAAGACATACAAATCCTAGAGCTCTTTCCTCGATCGAAACCACCATCAACATGAGAAGAAACCAGACCTGCATATGACGATTTTGTCTTCAAGCAACCAGAAAATGTGAAGACTTTGTCACTTTGCATCTATCCAACAGTTATTACTGAATAAGGATAATATCAGAAATAGTGTTTCTGTTTATTTGTACATATTTTTGAGTGCATTTTATCTTAAAAACCAGAAGAATCGTTTGTTTGCCATCAGTTCGCATGTGATGTATATATGAAACATCAAAAACATTCAAAAACTTTTCAAAATGACGAAAAAAACCATTATCTTTAGCATCAAATACATGCAAATCCCAGAGCTCTTTCCTCCACCTAAAACCACCATCAACATGTGAAGAAATTAGACTTGCATGTGAAGATTTGGTTTTCAAGCAACCAAAACATGTGAAGACTTTGTCACTTTGCATCTGTCCAACAATTATGATTGCGCAACGACAGTCTCAGAAATAGTATTTTGTTTCTTTGTACATACCTTTTAGTGCATTTTGTTTTAAAAAGCAGAAGAATCGTTTGTTTGTCATCAGTTGGCATGTGATGTATGTATGAAACTTCAAAACCACCCAAAAAAATTTCAAAATTACGGAAGAACCATTATCTTTAGCATAAAAGACATGCAAATCTTAGAGCTCTTTCCTCCACCGAAAACCACCATCAACATGTGAAAAAACCAGACCTGCATGTGAAGATTTTGCCTTCAAGCAACCAGAACATGTGAAGACTTTGTCACTTTGCATCTGTCCAACAGTTATTGCTGCACAATGACAATATCATAAATAGTATTTTTGTTTCTTTGTACAAATTTTTGAGTGCATTTTGCCTTAAAAAGCAGAAGAATCGTTTGTTTGCCATCAGTTGACATGTGATGTATATATGAAACTTCAAAAACACCCAACAACTTTTCAAAATGACAAAAAAACCATTATCTTCAGTAATAAAGACATGCAAATCTTAGAACTCTTTCCTCCACCGAAGGTTATTACTACGCAACGACAATATTAGAAATTGTGTTTTTGTTTCTTTGTACAAAGTTTTGAGTGCATTTTGTCTTAAAAAGCAGAAGAATCGTTTGTTTGCCATCAGTTGGCACGTGATGTATGTATGAAACTTAAAAAACACCCAAAAACTTTTCAAAATGACGAAAAAACCATTATCTTTAGCATCAAAGACAAGCAAATCCTCGAGCTCTTTCCTCCACCGAGAACCACCATCAACATGTGAAGAAACCAGACCTGTATGTGAAGAATTTGTCTTCATGCAACGAAAACATGTGAAGACTTTGTCACTTTGCATCTGTCCAACAGTTATTACTGCACAACAACAGAATCAGAAATAGTTCTTTTGTTTCTTTGTACATATTTTTGAGTGTATTTTATCTTAAAAAGCAGAAGAATCGTTTGTTTGCCATCAGTTGGCATGTGATGTATGTAAACTTTAAAGCTATAATAACTTGAACACTAACATTGTTCTGCCATTGAAGTCTTTTATCGAACGCTTGGGAGACAACTCTTCTCTATGATAACCGACTGACTTATTCTCAAATTCCAGATTGGGCGAATTACTTGATGAGATTTTTGTGTGTATCGACTATTGGAGGGAGCTGTTCTATTTATATGTATCACTCAAGGAGTCTTGCCCATCAAGAGACACCTTGAGGTATCCTTATTGCTATAGAATTGTTAATCCTAATTCTCCTAGAACTAGAAACCCCTTTAGCCTTGTAATCCATATGGAACACTTACACAGAGGCTATAGGTCGAGAGTTGTGTTGAGTACTTGATCAGTCTTGAGTCTTGCAATCCGATAATGAATAGAAGACCAATTCTGTAAGGATTGAGATAATAAACTATCTTACATTCTCCCACTTGATCAAATATTCATTGTGACTCAAGACCAATCTCCTAATGGCCAATTTAGAACTCAGCCTTCTCAGTTTCTTACCAAGCCACTGTCATTGATATAAATTCATATGGAACTGTCAAAGAACATTGAGCAACCAAACTCAAGTCTTTTACAACCACACATGCAAATGTACATCAACACATGCGACTGCCAACTGAATTAGTATCAAAACAATGTTGTGATCTACCTTAGAAAACTTAATGATCAAAACAAAGCTTAGCTCACCCTTAGAAGACTACCAAGGTCTTAAGAAACTTGCATGGCTCTTTCATGGATACGAAAATGCAAAACACATATGCTAGCAAAATTTTTGCAGATTCTTCCTTCATCCACATGCCAAAACAATCATAAGAAAAATATTATTAAATAAACTGTAAAACAATCTCGATTAAACTAGCTAAATGAAAATAAAACTAAATCTGGCTCCCACTGACTCCCACAGACTTCAAGCATCAAAACTGATATGTAAACCCATACTTTTAACATGCCTATGAAAAACATGATTAGGCAAGCCTTTGTTCAGGGGATCTGCAATGTTGAAATCTGTTCCAATATGATCTAAGGCTGTATAACCATCTCAGATCTTTTCCTTGGTTGATAAAAACTTTAACTACAGGTGTCTTAATCCTTCTGACCTCTTATTTCCTTTTGCAAAATAAACTGCAGCACTGTTGTCATTCCACAATTGGATTGGCCTTTGTATAGAATCCACGACTTTTAACATTGACATAAAATTTTTAAGCCACATAACTACTG